ACTTTCTAATCTGTTAACGACCAAAAAAACCCAGAACATCTCCATGTATCACCAACTATGGGCTGAAAATCGGGTAGGAAATGCTGGAAACATCATCCAGTGTTTTATTCTGCTTCCAAGTGCAGATTTCACTGCAGGCAGAGGAATAACACATCCCTTGTTTAGGTAATTGTACAAAAGGCTTGCACACTAGTTTGAAAAGTAACTGAAGGCACCAAAATCTCCCAAAATCACAGGAGAGGGACTAGGATGAGGTAAAACATTTGGTATCTGGAGCAGTCTTGTTCCAGAGATGGGTAAGAGGTGGAAAAGTCGAGGAAATACACAGAAATATATGGAAATACATGGACACACATGGAAATACATGAAAATGCATGGACATACATGAACATACATGGACATACATGGATATATATGGATATACATGACACACATGGACACACATAAACATAAATAGAAATGCATGGAAATACATGGACGTACATGGACACATGGAAATACATGGAAATCCATGGACATACATGGAAATACATAGAAATACATGGAAATACATGGAAATACATGGACACACATGGACATACATGGAAATACATGAAAATACATGAACATACATAGAAATACATGGACATACATGGATATACATGGAAATACATGGATATACATGGAAATCCATGGACCTACATGGACATGCATGGAAATCCATGAACATCCATGGACATGCATTGAAATACATCCTCTGTTGCCCTCTGCTGTTGGCTTGGTCAGATGTGAAGGGAATTTTCCCGGTAGCTCCCCGTGGGAAGCACAATGCAGACACCAAGGGCAATCATGGGATGTGCTGGATGGAAAACTGGGACTAGGAGGGGATTCTGGATTTGGAGTGCTCAGGAGTGTTATAAATGAGAGACAAAAGTCTCGATATTCAGCAGAATTTAGATTGTTTTATTTGATATAGACAGAGCAAGCAGCGCGCTGGGGAACGTGAGGGGTCACCGCCCACTCCACGCTCCACCCAACCTCGGTTTGCAGCCTCTTCTTATACTGTGGTTTCTCGTTGTAACCAATAATTTTTGGTTTTTTTGTTGTCACAAGCAGTGGTGGTTGAATAAACATCCTTACACGAATTCACAAAGCCTTTGGGTGATAATCAGTCACAGATAACCATCTGTAACCACCAGAGAAGTTCTGGGAGTCTGGTCCTTGAGATAAGCAGCATTGATCAGGCAAAGGCAGGAAGGGCTATTGGGAAGTCTGATTGTGCAAGCTGGTAGCCAATACAACTTATTTGGAAAACATAACATAACATATTATAATATAACATAATATAACATAACGAGGTGATTTTAAACAGAATTATTTTATCATATCATTTCCTTTATCTAGTGTCCATGCTTCACTTCAGAGCTTAGTATTCTGGTTTATACAAACCCCAATGCTTTTGTGATTAACACGAATATTTTATCAATTATCACAGGAGGAAAAGCATCAGCCTGCACTAGCACAGCACGTGGGAGGGGAGGGCACCTTTCCATGGGAAGCAAAGGCAGAACTGGGCAGGTGTCAGTGCCAGGACCACTGTCAGGGTGCCAGCCCATGCCAGGTGCTGAGCCCAGAGAAATGCCAGCAGAATTTCCAGGCTGGAGCAGCCACCCCTGGGCAGCACTGTCCCATGCCAAGGGGAGCACGGTGGTTTCAGAGCTTGGCAAACACTGGTGTGGCTCGTCAGACTCAGGGTGATCCCTGCAGGTCCCTTCTGACTGAGGAGATTCTGTGATTCTGAATCTGAATTCTGTGATTCTACTTGTGGAAATCTTAAGAGCATTTACAAAGATTCAGAAAAGTCAGGTGCAACTGAGTTCTTTTGGTTTTTTTACATACATCATCATAGAGAAGAGCATCAAATCTCATTTATCCTCAGAAAACAAGTTTATTTCACAGTGTCACACATCCTCATCTTCCTGGACTGTATTTAACACCTGAACTGAGGAGTGCCCAGCCTGGAATAAAGATTTGGCATTCATCATTATTTCTTTCTGGTCCCAAGGCTGACCCTCACCCCCTTGGATTACAATTTAACTGATTTGTTTCTGTGCCATTACCTGTGGTTTGCTTTTCATGTTTTATTACTTCCTCTATTACCCTACAAAATCCAGAGTTGACGTCACATCACCTTGTTGGCTGTGCTTAATTGTGACGTCAAAAAATACTGGACAGCTCCTCTCAATCCTCAGACAAAAAACCTGAGCAGCCATTCCAGAAATGGAATAAAACCCCAACAAAATCACTCCTTACAGGGAGGGGAAAGAAAAACTCTAAAAAAATCCAAATCCTTCCCTCTCCAAGCCTGCAAAATTCCAACAGGAAGAGTCTCTCACACTGCCTGGAACAGACTGAAGCAAAAGACAGGAGAAAACAAAGCAACTCTTGGGAATCCTACTGTAAACAGGAGGCTGCATACACCCAAAGCACTGCAAAGGAACAGCTAATCCCTGGAAAAATGTCAAAGGCACAGTGCTGCTTCTGCAGCATCTGCAAGTCTGCCTGCCATCCATGGAACACACAATTCCCCCAGGGCTCCCTGCTCTTTGCTTTTGGGGAGAGAATAAAAAAAAAAATTAAAAAAAAAAAAAAGAAGAAAATAAAGTGAAGTACAGCTTGAATGCAAAGCAGTCCATGAAAACAGTGAGGAATTTGGGAAGCTGCAAGGTTGGTCAGGTACCTGTCACACAGCAGCAGCTCTCAAGCAAGGTCCCACAAAGCTCCTCAGGCAGCAGCTGCTCCTGACTCTGCTCTTCCTCACAAGGGCTCCTCGTATAGAGAGGGAGCAGCTTCCCCATTCCAGGAAATGGGATTGCAAACCCTGCCCCTCAGTGATGCCACCCTGCCCCAAACCAGCAAGAGCTGAGCTAAGCCCAGCTCTAATGCTGCCCCTCACGCTGTCAGCAAGCCAAAAAAATCACTGAGATCCTGTAAAAATTCCCACTGTTCCCCATAGAAAAGCAAACTCTGACCTGACAGGACCTGCTGTACAAATTCCTGCATTTTTGTAGGGCCAACAGAAAACTGCATCAATTCACCAGCACAAGAGGGAAGGACCAGGAGCAGCCCCACGTTGTCTGATCAATCCACACACAATCACACCATTTACCTGAGCCACCAAACTGTCATTTATATAAATATATCTTGTTTTATATATATACAGCAGTATCTTAGCATGCAGAGGTCAGACCCACCAGCACAGTATGATCCCTTTTCCTTAGATCCCATGCAGCAGGAATGAACCAGGAGTGAATTCAGTTGCTTTATTATTTTTACATCAACATGAAATGTAATTTGAATACAGAGATTTTTAAAAGTAGATTTAATCAAGTGCAGCTAGTAGAGAATTCACAATTTTCTGTACAGGAGTATGAGGACTTCCAATGGAAATTCCTTACCCAAGACTAAAACTTGTGGTACAAATCAGCAGCAGAACAAATTTCCCCACTCTCACATGGCCAAGTCCACAGAGGTGAGGATATGCCTGAGAAACAACTACATCAGAGCTCTCCTGCCAAGCCAAAAACATGAGAGAACAGAATGCAAGCACAGATTTTATCAAATGGCCACTTGGCAAAGATAGAAACTGCCCTAAAAGCCTCCTGGCCACAGCTGGTGGCCTCATTTTTAGGCAGGATTTGCTGAAGACACAGATTCAGCTTGAAGGATCTTCCCAACCCCTGCAAGGACAGGACTGGCTTTTCCTCCTGCACTCCACCACCAGCTCCCTGAAGCTCACAAAGTGCCCAGAATGTGTTGGATACACCCCCAGCCCCCTCTCTGCACTCAGGGAGGGGACAGGGGTGGTGGGAGGTGTCCCTGCTGCTCCCTGACCTTGGCACAGGGCAGTACAAACCCCCAGCCTGGTCCCCTGGTAGATGAAGGTGACAAAGGATGGGGCAGATGTTTTCACCAACCTGCTCACTGACACTGCAACAAATGAGGCAGAAATCTCATCATCTGCTCCGTGGGCGAGGGAATTGTCACAGAGAACAGTCGAGGGCAGATTGGAATGGAAGAACACAGAATTCCTGCTTTAGCACAAGCAGACCCAGAGGGAAACGCCTGCCCACACCCCCAGCTGCTAAAAGTGTCCTGACAGAACTGAGTCAGCTGGGTCCTACCTGCAAAAAAAGGGGGGGGGCTGCAGCCCTTTTGTTGGTCCTCTCCCCTCTAGTGGATCCCAATGGGCTTTGTTTTGGGGGCTGAGTTTATTACCAAAAGATAAAACCCAAGAGCTGGGATTTGGTTGTTCTAAAAACCTCAACATGGTGATAGGGAAATTTTCTGAGCACTTTTAATAGCCTGAACGACATCTTCAACCACACTCCTCATGCAATACTTCATTATCAGCTCATTCGTGCTTAGAAATGTTATGACATAAAAAGTTCATAAATCACTAGTCCATAAAAGTCTCATATTCAATTAACAGACCTGACTTGAAAGGACTTTGACTGCCCTACAAAATATTAAAATGTGTTTCCAAAGGTGTTACTGGTTCTTATCACTAAGGAGCCCCACAGAGTGGTGTGAGGACTAAAGTCTCAGATAAGAAGTGCCATTGTTGTAATTACAATAGCATCATTAACATTTCCATTCAACTTGCAAAAAAAACCAAAAAAACAAAAAAAAACAAAAAAAAAAAAACCCAACCAAACAAAAACAAAACAAAACAAAAAAAAAAACCCAAAAAACAAAAAACAAAAAAACCCAAGGGTAAATTCACAGGTGTGATGTGGGGGATGACATAAGGAAGCTCAATAAAACATGCAAGAAAACCTGAGCAGGAAACAGGGAAGAGAAAAAAAAAAACCCTGCTGTTGTCAGAGTTTGTGCAAACTTCTCCCAGGCAGGAGTGCAGGAAGGGATGAGATGACAACCTATGTGAAGAACTTGAAATGATTTTGACTCTGATTTGTCCTCTGATGTAATAAGTTGAAACACGAAACCAAACTGAGAAATCTGGGCTCCATGATTTTAGTGTTTAAATTAAATGTACCTGCCTGCCCTCAGGACTTTTATCAAGGCAATTGGATGCAAGAGTAACAACAAATGGAGATCCTGGAAGGAGAAATCCAGGGGTACAGACTTGGCACAAAACCCAGCATGAGTTTTCTCTATCAGAACAACAGAAATGAAAATGATAATTAATCAGATGCAGTTTCTAAAACGTCAGGCAATGCCTGCAGAGAAAACCACTGTGTTCAGGGCAAGTGAATTCTAGCCACAAAAATAAGCAAATGCCCCCAAAATCAGGAAATGTATTTGTCAGTGACCCAACCTCAGAGGTTTCTGGCAGCCTCAACCCCTCAGGTACCATTACTGGTACCACTTATCAAAATACCATTGGGATAGGATTTTCAATTCTTATTGGTTCAGCTCTGAATCAGTCTCACACAATCAGAGTTATTGACTCCCACTGTCCCTGCAGTGACTGAAGTGCTCTGCTGGATTCCCAGAGCAATCCCTGGGGGTTAATCACAGCTGCCATCCTTCCAGCCATCCCTCCAGCGTTCATCCACACGGGAACAGTCAAATTCTGCCTTTCCCAGCTTCCTGTTCACTTCATTGTGGAGAAGACACAGCCACTGGGAGAAGTTACTCCTGGTGCTCGTATCGGGTTGGTTTTTCTGTAATCTGCAAACAGGGAACAAATTATTTGGAACTTCTGAGAAAGAAGCAGAGAGCAGCAGAAAATTTTGTCACAGAATCCCAGAATGGTTTGGGTTGGAATGGACTTTAAAGATCATCTCATGGGCAGGGACACCTTCTACCAAATCAACCACCTCAGCCCATTTCAGTCTTTGCCTTCACTACTGAGATTGCCAATGCAGTTTTGAGGGTAGAAGAATACTTGTCTCCTGAAAACCAAATTGTTCCAAGTCCCAGTCCAATCCCACAACTGTTCACAAGCCTGTTTTGAACCAGAAAAGTCCAAAATCGCCTCAGGGAGGCCTTGCAGGCAGCACAGAACAGAGGATGAGGACGAATGTTTGTTTTTTGAGTGAGTGCACCTGTGATTGATGCAATAATGGAAGAAACCAGTTCAGGTAGCTACAAACCCCAAGTGCAGGAAGAGCTGCTGATATGCAAACTAGCTGCTGCAGCCCAGCACTTCTGGCTGGCAAGCTCCTCCAGCACAAAACGTGCTGAGGTCACTCACCTGTTCTTTAGATCCTCAAAAAACCCACTGAGGCCACTCACCTCTCCCTCAGGTCCTCAGCACAGTGCTCACAGGGGTAGAACTTGGAGAAGAGGTTGATGAATTCCCTCATCTCCCTCTGCTGTGCCCCCGAGGGCCGCTCAGGGTAGTAGGCAGCCATGGTGTGCAGGAAGGCCCAGGTGCTGCGGCCCAGCTGCTCGCTGTCCAGAGGACAGTCCGGAGGGGGCTCCTTCTCCTCTGTGACAGCCACGTCCTGCAGAGGGACACAGGGGTGTGAGGGGACACCGGGGTTGGCGGGGACACAGCGCTTTTGAGCTGGGTGGGAAGGTGAGATGGGGGGGACAGGTCCTTCATATCCTTTCTGGGGATATGGCAGAGCCCCCCTCACACCTTCAATTGGAACATGGCAGAATCCCCCTCACACCCTCAGCGGAGGCAATGGCAGAGCCCCCCTTACACCCCCAGGGAGAAGATGGGGACCCCCTTTCCATTCCCACTGAAGAAAACCCTATCCCCGGCCCCTTCACACCCTGAAGGGAACACGCAGCCTCATCCCACTTGAGGGGCAGGATGAAGACTTGAGGGAGCTCTGCAGGGACTGCGAGTCGCCGGAGGTGGCTCCCACCGCTCCTCACCGCGCTGCCCGGGGCCGCCTGCTTCCTCTGCTCGCGGAGCCAACTCTTGAAATCCGTGCAAGCTCGGCATGGCTTCTTAGGTGGCTCCCCCGGCGCGCCGTGCGGGACGGAGAAGGGGAAGGGGAAGGAGCCGCTGTCGGTGCCCGGGAAGGGCGCGGAGCCCCGGCCCGCGCGGCCCTCGCTGGGCGCCGCCATGTTGGCGCCGCGGTGCAGGACGGGCCGGGGCGGCGCCATTCCCGCCCGGGCTCCGTGAGGGGGCTCGGAGCCGGCACTCGTCCAAGTGCCGTTTCTTGGGTGTTTTAATAAAAATACAGCAGTGAACTCTGTGTTTAAATATTGTGTTTGAGGAGAACGTGATAGTCCCGCCTGTCCTTCCTCGATTTGCGTTTCGCATCGCCCCTCGGGTGTGGCGGAGCTGTGCTCACCCTCAGGGTGGCCACACAGGTCCGTGAGGGGGCTCTGCCATGTCCCAGCTGAGGGTGTCAAAGAGCAGTTCTCCTCATATGGCCCGCCCAAATAAGCACAAAAATATGTATAAATATATGTTTATATGGGGTCTGGAGCATCTCTGTGGTGAGGAGAGACTGCAGGAGCTGGGCCTGGTCAGTCTGGAGAAGGGAAGGCTGAGAGGGGATCCCCTCAATCCATACAAATCCCTCCAGGGTTGTCAGAGGATGGTGCCAGACTCTGCTCAGGGACAGGACGAGGAGCAGTGGCCAGAAACTCAAACACAGCAAGTTCCACCCCGACATGAGGAAGAAGCTCTTTCCATGACAGAGGGAAGAGCAGAGCCCTGACATGGCAGAGCCTGGAACAGCTGCCCAGGGAGGGTGTGGAGTCTCCCTCATGTGATAATTGATAAAAGATTCGTGTTAATCACAAAAGTTTTGGGGTTTGTATAAACCCGAATACTAAAGCCTGAAGTGAAGCATGGGCACTAGATAAAAGAAAATACATGATTAAATAATTCTGTTTCAGATCACCTTGTTATGACTATTATGTTTTCCAAATAGATTACCAGCTTGTAAAATCAGACTTCCCAATAGCCCTTGCTGCTTTTATCTGATCAATGCTGCCTATCTCAAAAACCAGACTTCCAGAACTTCACTGGTGGTTATCTACAAGGACCAGATGGTTATCTGTGAGACTGACTATAGCCCAGAGGCTTTGTGAATTGGAATACGGATGTTTATTTGACCACCACTGCTTACCTGGCAAAATTATGATAGCAAAAAACCAAAAAATTATTAATTACAACGAGAAACCACAATATGAGAAGAGGCTGCAAATCAAGGTTGGGTGGAGCGTGGTGTGGGCATTGAGTCCTCACGTTCCCCAGCGCTGCTTGGTTTATCTATATGATATAAAGCAATCTAAATTTTTCTGAATATCGAGACTTTTGTTTCTCATTTATAACACTCAGGAGACATCCCAAACCCACCTGGACACGTTCCTGTGTCACCAGCTCCAGGTGACCCTACCTGGGCAGGGGGCTGGACTGGATGAGCTCTTCCTAACTCAGCTATTCTGGGATTGTGGGATGTGTAGATGCTGTGTATGCACAGCCCATGGCACACAGCAGCTCTCCTTCATGCCAGCAGTGCTGACAGGCACCTCAGCGTTATCTCCAGCAGAGTCATACAATCAACAGGGTGATTTTATGGACAAACAAGTGATTAACTCCCTTCAACGCATGCTATTCTATAGCAACACGCCCATACGTAGTTCTCCATGTTTTTAACATCTGTCACATGCTTCTAAATCTATATTTAGGGAGGATTTTTCTCCTTCTGAGAGTGTTGGCACGTGTCTCACCAGGGCACGTTCTGTCTGGGGTGATGGAGAGCCAGACTTGGCCCCAAGGCCTTGGCCTAGAGTGGACATTTGGCATTTTTTTCTTTTATTCTTAGAGAGCCACAAGCTTGGGAGCACATGAGAGTGTTGATCTGGGCAAAGGTCCAGCCTGGCATCAGACTTTGGACTTGCTCTTTCACACCTTGAAAACATGAATTAGCTGTGGCCTTACGAAATTTTTAATAGAGGTCAAAGGGTGAAACCTTGGAGAGCAGCACAGACTTCCTCTCATCCTTCTTTTCAGCTTGATTCTCTCATGCTCTTAAAGGACTGAGAGCCACAAGTCTCCTACCATGAACAATGTGAATTTTGTATCCACTTCAACTTTTCTCCTGCTTATCACCTGTAGGTCAAGTGGAAAACATGTTTATTTTGTTTAATACAAACAAATAGACGTCCAGGATGGAGCTGGACCAAAACATCGCTAAATAAATAAATAAATGTGATTTATTTAACACAGAGTGGTGTAAAATGTGTATTAGAAAAAGCATTATTTTAGAGAAATACCTCAAAGACTTGCCCTCAAAAATACTTCACCACTTGGTGTGTTTCATGTGGAAATGGCTGAGCTGTTCCTGCTCTGTGGAGCACTGAGCTGATGGTCTGGATCTCCATCTTGGGGTCTCTACCAGTGCTCCTTTATTTTTATTTCTTTGCAATTTCTTGGGAATATTTCTTTGCTGATTTTTGTGAGGGAGGGAGAAGACACGTGAAGGAGCTGCTGGAATGGCTGTGCCTAAAGTTGTACACAACTATAAAGATAAATTTCACATGCAAAGGAAAGATCAAGTAGGGACAGTGACATTTTTATATCTGTTTTCCTTGTCCATCAATAAATGTTTTAACTGATGCTCATGACGTTGTTAATTTTTGTAAAGTCAGGAAAAAAGAGAATGAAATACTGAGGGAATTTCCTCAGAACTTTATTGTTTGGTCTTCAAACAATGAAATAGTTGCAGAGATGTTTCCAAGTCACACCAATCCCTGCTTTGGCCGTTAGCAGACTTTGCTTCCTTGATAGTAATTTAATATATGGAGTCAGTTAAAATATTAGCATTTTTATTGAAAAGGAAAAAGCCCACAGCCTAGAAGGAGGCTGTTGGTTCCAAAGATTTGTGCTTCACATTGCTCCCCTCGCCCCTTTCCTGCTCAGCTCTAGGAGCAGAGCTGGCTCTTTAGGAAATGGTCCTCCCAGTTTTCTCCTCTTGCCTTCAAGTCCAGCATCAGCTTGGATTTCACAGTTTAAAAAATGGAGAAATGCTCCAGTTCAAGTCAGAGCAAGGAAATTCACTTTACTGCCTGTAAATAAATCCAAGTTTGGATTCCAAGTTTTGGATTCGTTTGGATTCCAAGTTTTGGATTCCTTTGGAATCCAAGTTTTGGCAGAGCCAAATGAGTTCCATCCAAAGGAAGGAATGTGGTGCAGAGCTGAGGAAGGATGAGGGAACATTCCCTGCTGCTCCCCTTGGACAGCTCTGACCCACCCAACCTCTGCTCCAGCACTGATGTAGGAGCTGCAGTGTGCTAGAGCCTGTTACCAAACAAACTCCTCACCCACATCAGATTCTGGGGACGAATTCTTCCCTGTGAGGTTTGGGGAGGGGCTGGCACAGATTCCCAGAGGAGCTGTGGCTGCCCCTGGATGGATCCCTGGCAGTGTCCAAGGCTGGGATGGATGGGGTTTGGAGCAGCCTGGGATGGTGGAGGGTGTCCCTGCCCAGGTGCTGCCAGAAAAGCACAGATTTTTCAGCTGCTGGTGTCTGTGAGACTGGGCCCACTGAGGTCACAGATGTCACTGAGTATGTCCCCCCTCCTCAGAGCTGTGCCTGGAATGGGGCAGCTCAGGGAGTGATGACAGCACTCACCAGGAAGCAGCAGTAAAACCCCTGCTGGAGAGATTGAAAGGCTGTGTTTGCCTTTCTCAGAGCTGTTTGATCTTCTGCTCTTACCTTTGTGCCTGCGAGAGCAGAGCCAGGAATGAACAGCTGGCAGTGGGGCTTGGGGCAGGAATAAGAAAAGGAGCTGGACACCCTCCCTGCCCCTCTGAACCCTGCAAAATCCATGGCACAGGGATCCTCACAGTGAGCTTGGGCAAGGACAAAGGTCTCAGCTTAAACACAGCCCCTGAGCAAAGCAGGTGACCACAAGGAGGGGAGACACAAGAGGAAATGATCCCGAGGAGAGATAATCCCAAGGAGGATTCACACAGTGTGAGCCCAGATTCCTGCAGGTTGGCCATTATGGACTGGGATAAGGAATAATATTCTCAGAGCCCTTCTTCATTTGGGAATCTAAACACCACTGAATATCCAGTAATTAATTTAAAGTTTCAAATGAGGCAACTGGAATAAGTTGTCCAGAGAGGTCTCCTGGTTGCCTCATCCCTGGAAGTACCCAAGGTGAGGTTGGACACGGCTTGGAGCACCCTGGGATAATGGAAGGTGTCCCTGCCATGGCAGGGGGTGGCACTGGATGGGCTTTAAGGTCTTTCCAACCCAAATAATTCCATGATTCTTTGAATTTTTTTTTTTTGGGGGGGGGGAAGTGTACCCTGTGCCTCTCAGGATCCCTACCAAATGTTTTTGTAGGTACTTCCAGCTGAGTGTAACTTTTCCCTCTGCAGGGGAATACAGCAGGAAGCTGTCTTGTGTTTACATGTAAGAATGTGAGCCTAAAGTCTGACCAGTGATGAGCCAGCTCCAGGAATTAGTCATAGACTTGTTCGAGAAATTACAGCCAACTAGGAAATAGCAGCAACAAAATAAAAACATTTATTTCTAGGCAAGTGAACCATATTGATTCTCTCTGCTTGTGTAGAAGTTTATCACCTGCAAAATTTCCCAAAATATGAATTTATTCCCCAGATATCAGGAAGGAGCCTGCATTCCCCTGCATGCCAGGGTGTGGATGAGATGTTGATCTCTGTTCAGATCCATCCAGAAATGTTGAAATGTGTTCAGAACAGTCTGAAGTGTAAGACTGAGCTCAAAATCTCACTTTTGCCTCGCTCAAATCTGAGCATCTACACCAGACACTGAGTTTGTTCTTTTAAATTTGGGGCCATTTTTCTCATGCTGATTAAAATGAGAATCAATGACTACTGGTGATGGCAGGGACAGGGAGAAAACCAAATTATTTCTGCAGGTCGGTTCAGATGATCCTGCTTGTGCCGTGTTCCCATCTATCTCCTCCTTCCCAGACCCTCTCTGGGCACCCCTGGAATCAGCTCATCCATTCTGAGGACAAACACAGTAAAATTGGGGATTTCCTTTTGTGCTCTTGAAAAATGAAGCACAGTGTCTTCAGTGAGCAGCTCCTTTTCCTTTTGGTTTTGCAAAAGGAGAGTGGC